CCTTAGAATTCCCATACACTTGTACCAAGGGCACGTCATAAGGGTTCTGCTTGAATGAACATACTTATCAAATTGAGGGTCTGAAATAACTGTCATGGTACCCCCATGCAATGTCTTAACTATATAGAAAGAAACTAGCAAGGAGCTAGCATATGGTACCATTATATGCTAGAATAAATGAATTTAATGGCACTCCACAAATAAACCTTCATAAAAACAGTGTTTAACACTATATATGAAATTTGTTGTTATCATGCCATGGCCCAAAAATCATAGAGGATTGTCAGTAGAGCAGATAGTTTGCATAAAAGCTTTATGTGATGCTGGTTTGACTCTCTGGCAAATTGCTGCAGATTTGAAATGCTCTCCAAACACTGTCAAGTACACCCTAGATCACGAGACAGAGACGGGTAAATTTGAAAATTTTGATTAAATATGTTGCAACAATGCCTGAAAGATTGTCTGCAGTTATTAAAGCAAAAAGGAGGACACACAAAATATTAACTGTTTGCTGAACTCAAGCACTTCCACTGAGTTTCTGTTGTACTAAATATGAAGATTTATAAAATTTTGAAGTTTCACCCATGATTTATCTTCCATTGTTCTTTGAAAGTAGCCTGAAATCTAATTTTTTACTTTGTCCTAACACTTTTGCACAGTACTGTATGTTTGGTGATTTTCTTTGCCCATTCAAGCATTTACTTAGGCTGATATGGTCTAATGCAAATGAAGCCTGAGAAAGCAACTATGCCAGTTAAACAGAACTTAATACAGTCAAGTGAAGAATGATTTAACTAACATATCTCATCTTTGTCCAAAAAGCATTTCCTTTCCTATCATACTTCAACAACATAATCCAAATGAATACAAAATGGTAAAGCAAGCTTTTTGTGAGGTTTAAAAAAATCAGGACTGTAATTGTAGCAGAAGTTATTCACAAACACTTCTTCTTCTAGCAGCATATCCCCAAGCTAAGCTTTTCTTACTTTGTTCCATTCTCTATGAAAATTCCTGCTAAACTGATAGTCTTTTTCATTTTTACAGTTGAAAAGAATGGGAAAATAGCTTTGAAGTAGTGTTTAGATCAGTAATAAAAGAATTATGTGGGTGAGAAAAATACAAAATATAGAAGTAAACAAGAATGAGGAAACTTTTGACAATTTTAAATAAGTTTATTGATGACTATGAAAACAATATTTTGGAAAGCCATTTTCTTCTCAGTAGAAACCCAATAGAGGGCTGTTGCCTGAAACGTTTTCATATTGGTCAATAAACTTATTTTAATTTGGCAAGTGTTTCACCTTGTTGGATTTTTACAATATTATGTTTAGCCTATGACTTTTAAAAGCTGAGATACAGACAGTTACATCACACCATCAAAACTAAAGTTGAGAAATAGTGATGGATAAATACCAATAAAAGTACATTTTTATTCAAGGTACAAGGAAAATTTAGTGCTATTTTGTTCAAACCTATTATAACTTTCCTCCTAGGTGGCTATAAGTGTCATATTATGCTAAAAAAAAATTTAGTAAATTCTCAAACACAAATGATCTCATTAGGGCAGTACTCAAGTCAACCCAAAATCAAATTAAGAAATTGTTAAAAATATTTTTCTGTATAAATTTAAATAAATAAAACTTTTATAGAATAAATTTCAATTCTTAAGCTGTTTTTCTTATTAGGTAAAAATTATTACAAGTTTATTTTCTATAATTTGTCTAATACAATGGCGCAATTGTGCCCAAGAAGCAGACTGCATCATCTGTGGAAAAAAAAAAGAGTTAATTTAAAAAATTAACAGGAAACAAACATTATATGTGTGTGTTTTCTTATAGCAAAGCCACATCAGGCTATCTGCTGTGTCCACATCTTAAAACATATTATGTTAAATGTAAAAAAACTTTAATTCTGTGTGTTAAAAATTTTGGAAAGTTGTTCTAAATCCACTAAAAAGGGTTCTGGAGATTTGGTTTATTAACAAGCTCTTTAGGTAGTGTTAATCACTACTTGAAAGAGCTGTTCAATGGCTACTGTAATTTTCCAAAAATAATACTCATTTCTTTCACTATAACTTATCTAAAGGTTAGGGTGCATATAATACATGGTAACAAATCTAAATGGTAATTTTTATATTCAGTCCAGACCATCTTTTTGACACACATTGTGAACAATAATGCATACTTACTAGCAATTTTGTACTTTGATAGTATGTCATGTTTATTCTCTCTGTTTCTAAGGCATAAATGAGAACTTTCTCCTATTTTCATTCATTTTCAGCATCTTTAAAAATGATCTTTATTTACATGCACTCTTATAAATGTTTAGAAATATAAAACTAGTTAATGCTACATTACGTTTTATATTCAAAACTACAAATTGTTTTTGGTGAAACCTTCAAGGTCTTAGTCAGAATCACTGTCCACAAATAGTTAGTGCATAGTTGGTGTATTTTTAAATCGACCTAATGAAACCAAAGCAGCCCTGTTCTCTTTAAGAACTGTACTTAGTGTCAGTACTTGACCATTAATGTAACTTTGTTGTGATAGACTTTGATTTCACAGTGTATTTTTAAATCAGTCTTATGAAATCAAAACTGCATCTTTGCATACACACATGGAGGAAATGATTCAGAACTACACATATTCCATTGAAACAAAGCTGTTGCAGAATTGCAGAGGACCGTAACTAATGAACAACAGCTGTAAATTGGTTCAATGTTTATTTGCAAAGATGGCAAGCACTAAGGCAAACTCGCTTAAGTTGGCAATGTTACGGATTTTCTAACATTTTGGCAATGTTTATTTGCCACTTGTAAATGAAAAGATAGCAAGCACTATGAAAAAAGTGAAATTAGAGATTATACAGACACTAACATTCTTGTCATCAAAGGGTTACCTTGTCCACAGTATTGCGAAAGTCTAGGTTTGTACTATTTATGGTAATAAGGCAAATTTTACTCTTTTGTTCATAATGCTTAATGCACGTATTATACTTTGGAGCATATTATATTTGGAAAATTACAGTAAGTTACAATCCTATTCATATTTCTTTCTAAATGTATTTTCTTTCACTTCACTTTAATGCCAGGAAGTTATTGTATACTTTATGATAAGTAGTTATAAAATAACTAAAAATAATTACTACACAAGGATACTCTGCTATACCTTCTTAAAAACTTCAAATGTATCACATTACTTATAATGTGGTGAGAAACTAAGTTCTGTACCTGATTTATGTTCTGATAGTCCATCAGTAGATCCAAAATATCCAACTGTAACTTTTCCAGTTCTACAAAAAATTTATACAAATACTTGCAGAAGCTATTTGTCAAAATATCCAATTTTTCAGTATTTTACATGCAAAAACCCATATAACACAAACTATGGTTATTATTTATTTTTACAACATTAATTTATTCACACATCTTCCTTCTTTCTTTAGTTGGTAGATAGCCAAGTTTCTAAAGATGACAGTGAGTAGAATTATATTCTGTTTGAGTATAGCCGATTCCTTTACATGAACTAAATGTTAAGTGGGGCTTCACATTTCTTTCTCACCAAATTAACAATTTTGATGATAAAAGAAGAGAGTACGTCATCTTAAACAGCTTATCTACTGAATAAATGATTAGCATTAATTCCATATTTGCTTCAAATACCTATATAAATACAGGCTCAATATATATGTTGTTTTTAGATCAAACAGATGTCCCTTAGAGTGACAAGATACGACTATAGAATAACAGGAGGTTCAAACAAGATATTTATCACTAGGTAATTCTGAGTTATCTGAGTAACTGAGTTCGTGAAAAGGAAATGAAGAGACTGGGCACAATTGTACAAAAATAGAATGAACAATCATTATTATTTGTAAAAACCCACACAGTGTGTGTGTGTGTGTACTTGCTTGAAACAACATATAATTGCTTTTAAAGGATCTAAACTACTTTATCTGCAAATTGCCTTTGTTGAAATCCAATTCCAGACTGACTAAACCTTACATTACTTAGTTAAATCATAACATCTGATTTACCCAGAGCAACTAGCACTACCCATGTGATTGGTCATTTTCATTCAAAGATAAGGGGGGGTCAAAAATTTGAAGCATAACTTAACATACCAATGAATGGTACTGCTGTCAACATCCATGCACATGGTGCAGCTTTACAGCCATCCCCCCTCCCATCCATCCTCCCATGGGCAAACCAGGTGTTATCTCAAGAGACTGACAAAAACAAAGAGAGCAAGAAAGAAAGCAACTTAACGACTTTCTTGACCACTTGTTATGTGAAAATTTCACATACCTAGAATAAATGACTTCAGAAAATCTTATATTAAAATAAAAAGGTAGAAATTCATGGTATGCTTGCATCTCGCACATACAATCATTTGTTTTATACTTGAAGGACTAAATGTAAGATGTTTTCACCAGTCTTTACTGTAGTGGACTGCATTGTATTTATTGCAGTTACATACACATCTGGTATAAAAGACATACACTGCATCACAGAAGAAAGCATATTCACTAAACTACCTATTTACAAATAGTCAACAATAAATTGGATCATTTAAAATCATAATTCATAATATTTTATATTAATCTATACAAAGTTTTAGGGATAGTAATCCCTTTAATAAATATCTATACAGTTATAAAATATATAGGTTATCAAATATTTAATTATTTTCCACCGCAGTAGATTTTGCACATCTAAGGTACCAGCCTTTGAGAAGCAGCTAATTTAAGGTATTTCTAGCCCATTTGTTTCATTTTTTCATCCTTTTTTGAAAAATAGATATTTGCTACTTTAACATGTCTACTTTCAGTTTCTGCAACACATTTTATCAAAACACCCCTAAATATCCCTCAAAAATGGTACTGAAAATCATAATCCTGATTGAAAATTAAAATCTTCCCTTAGCGACTGCCCTAGCAATGGAATTCATGGCAATTTGCAACCTCTTTGGTGGTAATTTTCTCAATTTTTGTGACACAAACTCAATGCATAATAAAGTGGCTGGTCTTAAAAGGCAATAACAATGCTAAAACTGTTAACTAACTTCAAGTGGACAGTGTTCAACTCCATGTGATACTTCTCTGGCCACTACATCCACTCCTTTGTCTTTTGCAAGTTAAATCCTTCACTGTAAGGTTTTATTTACTGCCAAAAATTTTAAAGAGTTGGATGAATTTTCCTTTCTTTCTACACTGAAGAAATTTAAAAGATAAATAAGAAGAATATCAGAAGAAGAAAACAAAGGTTCCATAGGAACTAGCACATTGACAAGCCAATGCCTAAATATAGTAGAACTGAGCCACATACTACTACATAAGATCAATTTTCAGGATGGAAAATTGTTAAAGTAATGGTGAAACCTTGAAATGATAGCGACTTTAATTTTTAATCACATTTTCCTCCATTCCAGCTTTTTCCCTCCCTAACGGACAAAAACAATTGTAGTTTTGTCAAATTTTCATGGATTTCTACCAATAATTTTTCATACAGAACAGCTTGGAAAATACTACAGGGAATACACCAAAACATGGGTTGTAAAAAGTTACACCCTAACTATAAGAGGTCTGTAACTGGAGGGTTGATTTGTATTGTGGAGAATAAATAATTTTTTGTTTTTCTTTTTTTCTGTGATAGTCTGATATTTGTGATGTTAGGTTCATGCTTTTCCTCTCTTCTTAAGCTTTAAATTGACGTAAGTTAGTTGGGTAGTGTTACTAGTTTTCAAGATATCATGTTTCTAGATAATCTGACATCATTAATATGTGCATACTAATGAAATAATTTGCATAAGTAATTGTAAGTGAATTGTTTTGTATTATTTTCAAGTTCATCAAAGTTTGAGGTCCTAGAATTCAAAACTAGTAATGCATACATCAATGGGCTATAAGCACCTTAACATTCTGTTTCAAGGTGACTGTATTATATGCATCTTACAAAATAAAAATACACATTTCCATACAAAACTAACATACTTCTAGAATCTCAGCCATAAATATTTCATGGAGTATTTAACAGAAACATCACCACTTGTGCTAAACAGACCAAAAGTTAGATATCAAGAGTATAATAATGATACAAGACTTTGTGATATGAATTATCTTCAACAGATCTAACATATTACAGAAAAAAGAAATAGAATAAAATTTAATAATGCTAAAATCACTGAATACGAGCCACACATGTGAATAAAATGCAAAAGTCAGTAAAATCTGGGTACCCTTCTTGAAACTATTAAAACAGTTTATTCAAGTTCAATAGGGTCACAGTGTAGACAAGCAGATGACACATCTTTCTTTATAACAAGAAAACCTAGGAATGAATTCCAGCTTCTACCACCACACACACACACAGTTGTTCTCAGGCCTTCTCTAAAAACAGCAGTATATTGAAAGCCAAAACATACAAACTAATTGGTATTTAGTATATAATGAATAAAACATATATGTAATAACTAATCTGTAATTACGTTTAGGCAATTAACTAACACAGACCAAAAGGTCTGTCTACACATACACCTAGAAACACATGATGGAAAGATTTACCTCAAGAGTTTGGAAGACATAAATTTGATTCTTTCTGAGGACATGAGTCATCTCAGATAATACTCTTTTGAAAATTTCTGCTGCATTTCCCAATTTTATTTCAATAAACAAACAAAAGCTTTACAGCATTTCCTGCTTAATTTAAATTTCAACTTTATACTAATCCACACTAACACTAATAATGTAAAGAAACTACATAAGCACTCTAGGCTTCAAACTAATAAATGTGGTGTAACATTGATTTAATTTACACCACTCACATGCATGATTAACGTGTACACATAAGCAAGGAAACATTCTAAAAAGTGCTTTAATTGTACAAGTCACTTTCGTAAAAGCATGCAGCACTAAATAGATATTTATTAGTTTAAGTTAGTTAATACATTACAGGATGAAATTATCAGAGTGGATATACAAAAGATTTACAATATAATGCTAAGTTAGAAAACTAAACTTTACATTGATTAGATTGTTTAGCCTTTTAGTTTTTATTAGTATATGAAACATTGGTACAAATGTACAGAATTTTATAAGAATTCCCACTCTTAGCTAATAACCCTGGAATTTTATTTATTAGCCAATGAAGGTTAGTAGTAAACTCATGGGTCTAATTGATAATTTTAAATTCCACATTGTTTGTGAAATGTAAAAATCCTGGTATCTAGTAGAATTTTAAAATTTCCATAATACTTGAGTCATTCTTACTATTCTCAGTTCTTTGTGTTTTTGAAATAAAATGTATTAGGTGATAGGTTATAAAAAATATTTTCAATTTTAACAAACTTATACTTTTCAAACAGTTTCATGAAAGTGTTGTATATAACATTATGTATCAATAACACTAAAAACTCATTCTTCTATTGCTACTAACCAGACAAATGTTGTTGAATCTTCAAAAACACATCCTTAAATGGACCACTGTTCACAATGTCATCTGTTGTTGACTGAAAATATTAATATATGAAGTTTTTACTGGTACATCCATCTTCATTTTTACACATGAGACTGCTGTACAAAAAATCTGTATTAATAAACATACAATTCATCAAACTTTAACTGACAAGTAACCTAAGCACAATATTGTACAGTTTTGTTTTTATCATGCAAAGCTACACAATGATCTATCAACGCTTTGTATACCCTGAGTAATTGAACCTCAGATTTTAGTAATGTAAGTCAGTAAATTTACCACTGATCTAACACGGACATATTCTAAGTAACCAATAAGTTGGGACAGTTATCAAGATCTGATGCCATATGAATCTATTAAAAACAAGAGAGACTTATTTGACATATTTTGTAAGTTTAAGGTGGTTAGAAATAAAATTTCAACCTTTTTTTTTTTAGTTATATATGGTAAATCTAGTCTCGTAGTTTGTTGTACTCCAACAAAAGACTCAAGAGAAGTAGTAAAAGACCATTTCTATCTTAAACTGCATGAGATATTTTTATGAATTCCAAAACAAGATATTCAAGTATTAATGGGACACATGACTTTTGAGGTTATTGTTGATCCTGGGGTTGCTCTTGGTAGGTTCAGAACGGGCCTCAGATTTGTAGAATGTTGTGAAGTGAATGGTTTGATTATACATTGTTTTCACAATGAAAAATTCACAACGAAACATGGAGAAGCCCTAATGGTTTAACTGTAAATCAAACAGACCACATAGCCATATTCTGCATGATGTCAGGTCTTTCAGAAGTGCAGTCATAGGAAATACTGATCACTATTTGGTTGTTGCAAATATAAAAGTAAAAATGTACAAAAAACCCCAAACAAATGCATGTACCCTTTAATTCTGTTAAGCTAAAAAATCCAGAAGTAAAAAATGCATTTCAGCTAGATTTACAAAATAGGTTTCAGATACAAGATATCATAAATGATGAACAGGAAGTTAAATAAGAGACTGAATTTAACTTGTGTAACTGCTACAAGCTAAATTTTTGGTTATCATAGAAAACCAAAAGAGAAATGAATGTCTGATGAATCGTGGAAATTAACAGATGAGAAAAAGTAACTGATGATCAAAATGGAAAGTTGCATAGGCACAGGTAGAAGGAACTTTTTAAAGAAAGAAAAGGCAAAAGAAGTTCAAAGAACTGATAGAAAAATCATATGTAGATATTACTACCAGAAAGCAGAACAAGCAGCCAACAGAAGAGTTCAGAAAATTATCTATAAGTCAGTCAAACAAGTATGAGAAAACAAAAGTAGATACGAATGATATAATTAAGGATGAGCATGACAATAAAAGTAAAAAAGGACAAAGATATTTTCAAGATATACTGAATGTAAATGATCCTGCATATCTAAATAATTTTCATCAAGAAGAATTACATGAAGAGGTACTTTTCAATATAACATTCATAGACAGAGAAGTAGATGTTGAGGCAGTTAAGAGATGTAAGAATAATAAAAGTCCAGGAAATTATACCATGACTGTAGAACTGTTGAAAGCATCAGGAGAAAAGATTGGATTAGCAAAACTCAATGATCTGATTACGTTTGTCTGGGAATTAGAGCTGTCCCACTGATTGTAAAAATGGAATCATTGTTAAAATATTCAAGAAAGAATATTTGTCTCTGTGTAATAACTGGAGGGGAATTACATTACTATCTGTCCCAGAAAAAGTTTTGAGTATGATTTGATGAGAGGGATGAAAGATGCCACAGAAGCTTTCTTGAGAGAGCACAAGCAGGTTTTATGGCTGGTAGAGAATGAGTTGACAAGATCTTTGTTCTCAGAAACATCACTGAACAATGTGAGGAATGACAAAAAAAACCTTGTGTTGAATTTTATTATTTTTAAAAAAGCCTTCAACTCTGTACACAGAAAAATCAATATGGTGTATACTTCAATATTATAGATTCCCTGAAAAAATAATTAATGAAATAAGTTTTAGAATATGATAAAAGTTTATGTTTGTTATGTCATGACACACAAACAATTGCTAGAATGACTGAAGCACTGGCATATGAAGCTCAAAAAGTTGGTTTAACTATTAACACTGATAAGACAAGAACAGTGAGATTAAAGACAAATGACTTGGATCAGGTAGTTGTGAAGGGAAAGGTAACGGAGGATGTGAAAAACTTTACATATCTTTACATAGTATAGTTAATGTGGATGGAGATATATGCAAGGAAGTACAGACAAGATTGGGAAAACATGAGCTGGTTTTAGAAAATTTAATAGAATATGGAATAATGCATATTTAACTTAAGATGAAGCTTAGGTTGTTCAATATCTTGGTTCTTCCAGTTTTGTCATAAGGCTGTGACACATGGAAAGGACTAGAGGAAACTGAGCTTAGATTGAGAAATAATTGTTTAATAAAAATAGGGTGGTTTGATGATAAAAGAGAAGTGGACAACAATCAGTCATAGAAAAGCTCAAGTTCTTTGGATGGAGATACTATGAACATGTTCTAAGAATGAAGGAGAATAGACTGTCAAAACAAGCAATGGGCTGGAGGCCAACTGGAAGAAGATGCAGAGGAAGACCAAAAGATTGCTGGTGTAGGATAATAGAGAGGGGTATGAGAAATCAAGACCTAAACAGAACAGAGGCTGAAGAATGGGCAGAAGACCAAGCATAGTGAAGATGCTTTACAGTTGTCCTATGGACCATTTTAGGTCTGGGAATGACTGATAATGAAGACAACATATATTGGTAATATATATGAGTATTACTTAAGTTATTTAGTACTTACTTGTTCTGTAAAACTAAACTGCACACCACAGAAAGTTTCTTCCAGAATTCTGTTATCAAGTTGTCTTGTATCAAATATCAATGGAAGTTTAATTTTGTCAAATGTACTTTAGTTAAGGAAATTGACAATGGGTTTTCTTTGACATATGGAAATAAATAAAAAAACATGAATTCTGATGAAACTAAGAAAAATGTAAAAACAGAGCAGAAAAAGTACCAGTTAATCTATATATCACAACTATAACTCCATTCAACATTTTCATAAGAGTTACCAATCAATCAAAATAACTGTTCCAGTTTATCTTCTACTTTTATGAGGCAACCTAAGTTGTAACAACACTCTTTCATAACATCATCTGGATTTACCAATCGAACCAAATCAATTACAACACCACTATCAAGTTTATTACCTGGTTTATCTACCTATCTATACCCCATTATAAAAGCATTGTTAATTATCTCCCAAACGTTTTAAGAAAAACAAATTATATTTTTGAAAAGAAATATCTTATTAAATGCATTTAAATATTAAAAATTTTAAACAATCATAAAATAAGAGCAGTTCATCTTCTACAAAAGAAAATATTCACACCTTTACAATAATCAGTGTTCACAACAGCTTATTTCGTGCATTCATTACAAGCAACTTAAGTATTCCATCTCAAATTTGTTGATTTAGCCAATGATGAAAAGCTAAAATAACACAATAACTTAGAATCCTTTTATCCATGCTTGAAATCGAAATAAGGAAAATTAAAACCCACTTATCTTTTCCATCAAAAGAGTTAAATAATTTTTAGAAAAGAATAACAACATTTGATGTAACTAAAGTAGTCCTAAAATTGGAAATGTTAGAACATAATACCACTGTAATTCTATTTTTCTGGGTGTACAAATACAAGTTTTTGTCTTAACTTTGTGTGTGAATTATTCAAAAACCATGTAAAAAAATCTCAAACGAACAAAAAAGTACAGTTTCTTATAATTAACTCAGAAACAGTGAACTGAATTTTTATTTCACTCCTGGTCTACCAAGTCACTTAAATTATAACACCGTTGTGATTTATCTAATTTTATAAAGTCCCTGACATATAACAATGTTGGGACTTATCTAATTTACTTGGTGATCCTTCATTTAAGTTCCTTCCAAGTATAATGAACTGGTCATCAGTAAGTAGAAATGTATGTTTAACTCATTGTTGGTTTAGTGGTGTGTTGGTTGAAACAGGTATAATGAGCTGAACCTCAGTCAGTAGAAAAGTATTTGTAACTCCTTGTTGGTTTGGTGGTGTGTTGCTTGAAACAGATCTATTAAAATTTGGCATAACCATTGCAAGTTTTTTGAACTACTGACAGCAGTAAAAACAATTATCATTCTAATGGTTTTTAAAGCTGGAACTTCCTTTCTAAGTTTGATGTTTTTTGACTCTTGATACACACCATTTCCAACTTTTCATATGTTTTACTAGCAATATATTGTTTTAGAAGCTGCTAATTAAAGAAAGGTAGATTAAATGAATGATTAGGTTAATAATTAGAAGTTTGATCTCACAATATAACAAAGTGAGAATGGGAAAAGAACCTGGAATGAAAAGTCTTTAATGGTGTAAATCACAGTCTATGTGAAGGTTAGCATATACTTAATATTTAATTTTTAAAAAATAATTTTTAAATAAAGCTAATAGTTTTAGATAGCGTACATGGGTATGTGACATTAAAACCTTTAAGTACACCAACATTCTAAGAGTGTGAGTTATATATGAGCACATAAATAATGTATGGCTGTTTGAGTACGTAACTGGTAAAATAAATTCCTTCTAATAAAATACATGGGATTGGTAAATGTAGCCAAATATTTGACTTAAATCCTTGTAAAATTAACTGAAAAGTCAAGTTCAACTTGTAGCATTGATTGGTTACAGCCTGAAGAAATGGAGCAGTTTCTGGAGCACGTGTTTTATGCCCTTGTTTCGGCTTACCGATTTTCTCCTGTCAGTCTCGAGTTTAATCAACAGAAGCAAGCTTTATCTCTAATATTAGCCATCCTTCAGCATCAAGCAACACGCCAGTACCTTTTAGGATCTTCTTTATATCTTTTAGAAAGTGGTTGTAGATTTAAACAGTTTGCAGTGTTAATACTGTTTATAGTTATTGAGTGATCTGAAAAATAACCTTTTCTTCTAAGCCTCACCTTTTGTATCTAACAGTTTAATGTTAAATCAAGTAAATAATCTCTCTTTTCATATTATTTAATCTGACTAAGAACAAGACATATTAAACAGTTGAGCATATGACATAAAGCCTCAAGAATTCACCAGAAAAAATATTTTCAGTTGAGTGTATGGAAAGATAGTTTTAACTTCAACTACGAATTAGTGAGACTTAACAAAGCAGAAGAAAAAACTCATTTTACTCCTATCCACAACCATTCAATATTAGCATATAGACTAGTTCACATTTCTCTTAAATAATGTGATAAAAGTTACAATGGTAATATGGGCAGTGACCTACTACTTACAACAAATGCAAGCTTGAACTAATGTAATTTTAGATGTTTTATTTTACTGTATTTTGATGGGCTAAGCTAAGAAGTTTATAATTTTTACATTTTAATTATCTTTGTTATTAAAAAATAAATAAGAACATAAAAACAAGGATTTTTAGTATTCACTGCATACTCAAGCCATTTGCATTTGTGTAAAAAAATTTTACGTTCTCCTCTAAGCTTTGTTAAGTATCACAAACTTGCGTGTCCAAACAAAAGTTCACATAGGTTTTAAATATGCAACTTAGAACCCAAAAAACATATCAGACACAAGAAAAGAATATCCCAAAACTACTATTTATCCAGTTTTCTAAGTAAATTATAAGTAGGTTCAAAAAATTCTGCTTCTGTTCAGAGCACCAATTCTGATCAATACAAATCAATCAGTTCTCACCGATTAATGTCTCATGGCAGGGAAATTAAACACTGAGTTGTAAGATTAACGAATAGAAGGATCTAATCTTTCTATTCATTATAAACATACCCATCAACTATATAAAGTTGATTAGCAAACAATCTTGTAAGTCAAAAAGAAAGAAGAGGCAGCAACATGTCCACCAGGGTGGTTTGTGTGTGGGGGACTCCCTATTAGAAAGCAATGCCCCCCAGCAGCTCCCTATCTAAAAGTTTATTACCATCTTAATTTCAAAAAAGAAATATCTAATTTCTCCACTTCAAAATTTCCTAACTTCTAAAAATAGGCTGCTGCAGTTTCCAACTAATTAAAAACAAAAACTGTATGTAACTAATAGCAAGAATCTAAAATATGAACCTCCTATCATTTTTATTTGTTGAAGTATCAATACATTTGTCAAACCAACCAGAGAAGCCTCTCCCTCAGTGGATTTTATAGGATTTTTTTATTTGGGAGGGCAGAAGGGGGCATAGAGTTGAGGTGGGACTAAAGGGGGGGGGGCATTGTTATTAAATACAAAAGAAATTGGCTTTTTTGTCTTTAAGAAGTCTATATATATATTCTTTTTTAATTATCAAAAACTGAAATTACTTCAGACTCTTTGCAAAGCTTTGTGGTGGTCTGATGCTGTTTCAAACTATCATTAAACCCACCCCTTAGGTCTCACCTTATTGGACATCCTTTTTTTGGTTTGATTAACATTGTATGACTACCCATCCCATCCAAAAACAAAGTAATACTTTTGTTTTGGTGGGAGTCACAATATGGGTACAATTTTAAAATCTTTATAAAGACCGGTGTATTAACTCTTTCTGTTTGATTGAGTTGAAGTGCTTGTATTATAACTCTTTACTTTGTGGGACAGTGGATTTACAATGCTAAAATCAGGGGTTTGAGTCCCTTTGGCAGATACAGTAGATAGCTGTGATGGCTTTGTTATAAGAAAACATACGCTTGTTGCATTTAAAGCTTAATTAAACAACTTTATTATCAATGTATGTCAATAGCTTGGCATAATCAATATTTTTATATTTTCTAAGTTTACAGTTCTGTTTATAATGTAAGGAAATATGCAACAGACTCTTGACACTTTAGGAGGTATTACACAAATATTATTGCTTTCTATACTCTATTCTTCAACTTTCTACAGTACTGTTTGTGAATTTTAAACAAAAAGATTGATGAATGTTAATGCCTAAACAAAAATTATTTTCAAACAAATATCATGAAATATGAATGTAATATTAAATACACAAGGTCTTAGATGAGAAAATATTAGAATTCTAACCTCCAACAATGTCCACAAAATATCTAGAAGAGCAAAAAGTTTGTCTTGTCCATTTTTAGCAAGTCTAAATATAAATGGTATTAGACATGCCTCCACTACATATGATGAAACCTAGATAAAAATGTAAACAGTGTATAGCAGTGATAACAGAAAATTCACATAATTTTAAAATTAATATGATTTCCTTATCACTTTATTCTATCGACAATATTTTCCTTCCAAAATTTCCTTAATCTATTAAATCAATACCTCTAAAACATAAAATGCAAGTCAACTTGTGATTGTTTGTCATTCATTTTATACAAAATTAACAAGACTTTAACTACAGTAGAGTCAAGTCAATTTTTGGTTAAATCTTTTTTGTACTGTATACTTCCTATTACATGACAGTAGAGAAACAGCCTTAAATCATACTGACAATAATATTGGGATTAAAGAAGGCTCTCATTGATTAACAGTTTTATATATTTCAGCTTAGAGGTATTTAAATAACTAAAGTTCTTGAGTACAGTACTGTAACAAATAGCACATATATTTACACATACAGGCACACTAAATCTTACCAACAATGGACCAAGCTCTCTAATTACTGGTGCTGCAACAAGAAGTACGTTTTTCTCTGAGAGTGGAAAGGCTGAAGCATCACTGTCAAGCTGAAAATCATAAAACATGAACAATATTAATATAGAAATGAAACTATATATGGATGATAACACATACATGTAGATGACTGATCATACACCAGTTAATTTTAATCACACATGGTATATAAGTTTTAAGTTCTTAGTTTTATAAGGCAATATAACAAAAAATCCTGAACTTCTCTTAATGTGAGAAATGTGATATTTTTTCTCTAGGCATCCTCTCTTCTCTAATTTATTCATCACCCCTCCAGCAAGTATGAATTTTAACATAAATTACTCACTATAATATCATCATCGCTCTGACAAAGCATTATTTTATTAGCCTACAATCTTGTTTGATTACAAGCTTCGTTAACCATGGGAGAGATATTATATGTGGACTACTTTACCAGGCATAGTGTTCACCAATTATTACTGTATATTACTGTACTACCAATATGTATGTGAAACAAAACTGTCTTGTCAAGATGGCAGAGAATGTAAGCACGTTGTATTTGCATGCATGTTTTGTATAATACACTGAAGTTAAAAAAGCCATGTTACACCTTTTAAAAATGTTATTTAAGAGTGGACCAAAATTTTTCAGGAACACATATCCCCATAATACACGTAAAGACTGTGTTGCTTAATTTCATTCCAGATGCAAGTTCCACTTTCTAGGAACACATCACAATGTATAACGAGAACCCCCTGTACTTAAAATAGTACACTTTAAATATGAGAGAAATCTATTACTCATATGTACAATTTTGTCAGCATGCAATGCATTTACAAGTAACCTAGGTTGCTTTACAGCTGCCTTGTGTTTCTAATAGTATGTAATGCAATTCTTAACTGACTATTGCATATCTAATGTTTGTAGATAAAGAAATTCTGATTCTTATACTGTTTCATTTTACCATACTTAATCTTGTTACCCCAACTTTCAAATACCTTACCCAACAGTCTATATATAACAGACAAAAATGTTCTACATGATTCAGAACTTTTTATCATTGCAAAATCCAAGTTAGACAATACATCTTGAAAACTGTTTTCTCCATCAATGGTTGCAAATGGATAGCTTAGTTAAAGTCTACATGTACCTAGCAACTTGCAATAGTTTCTTATATCTTACAAAACACAGGCTCAGCTAAAATTTACACAAAGGGTAAACTTATGATATATTTTTAGATATCTATATGTATGTACAGGGAAAAGAAATATATAAATTTCCTCCTTCTATCTTGTTCAAGTCCTTCACACAAAACAAAATTAATGTTATGGGAACTACAAAGACTGATATCTCAAAGAAATATTCCATTACAACTATGAACTTTGTTGTTTTATTTGACAAAGTGCATCATTTTACTACAACTTTTAAGTCTTGGCTGTATCTACTTTTTGTGGCAGAATTACAAATAAATGAATAACAGCAAGGAAAACATTCTAGGACTAAATCAAATTCAACAAATCCAAAACTGACTATAACCTTGTTTTCTAAAAACTGGAGGACCACTTTCTCTACCCAACACAAAAGTCGTTGGCACTTCATTACTTCTGGCTCTGGTACACTTTGTAAAGGCTGATATCCAGGAACTTGATACCGGAATGGGCGAGCTCCGAAATTGGCAATCAAGTTTTCACTGAAAGCTAGGCTTACAGCTGGAAAATAGGCAATGCCGGGTCCCATTCTAACACAGTTGAAAGCTTCTCCTAGACTCACACCATTCCTGAAACATGATGTAGTGATTAAGTAAGACATTCTGTGAAAATTTTGATCCAATCATAAGCAATATTAATGTCATGTAACATTCATTAATGAACAAACATAATTATAGCAGAAGCCTATTTAGTTAAATATCACACAAATGAAACAAGTTTCAAGTTATTCTATGACTATTACACATATACGATAAATTCATATTTTTAAAAAAAGATATGGCTTAAGTATAAAATTAAATAATTAATGCTGAGAAGTTGATAAAGAATTCAAAATTAACTAAATGATAGTTGAAATATATGTACCATTATTTTGGTTTAGAATAGATGGTAATATTACAAAATGTTATGTGACTAGGTGAATAGCAGGATGGGAAGAATTATAATAGTTGAAAGCTAAGTGGTGTAGACATGAACAATTAGTAGAGGGAAAGGCACACACAAGTGATAAGTGATTTATAGTTAAAAATACAACTTTCTAAACAACACACTTAATGGAGAAAAGTCAACATGTATACTTTAAAATCATTCAGTAAAAATCCTGGAGTGAGGTGAATAGTTCAATGTGCATGTGTAGTATATTTAAGCTACCAATGTTACACTCAAAAATGTACTCTATTTAAATCAACTACTTAGTTTCCTACAACATTTGGTGACTCTAACCTGGAAAGGTAATGACAGTTCTAATCCAATTAACCATATGTTCAACTAATTTCAACCAACAACAACACAGCAACTATCGACAAGAATGATCCTAAAACTTTTTATGTAACCTGCTTTTAATTGTTTAAAGTGTATTGTGTTACATGGTATAATTGAAAATACACATCAAAAAGATATTTATATGAATTGAGAGAACTGTGAACTACAACTTGCTCCTGAATTAGAATACAAATTATATTTGTAGAAAACTAATGAGACTTTAACCTAAGCTGTGTTAGTCACAAAACAACCAATTTATTTTTATAGCAAAGAAGAACAATTTATACACATATGTTTAACTTCAAACAATATGGACTTTAGTCAGATATATCATAATTTCCTTTAAACAGAATACAAATGGAAAAACAACATAATCATAAATTTTAATCTTAGCTTTTACTTTGAAACCATGAAAAACAAAACATTCTTTATGGTGTTCTCAATGTTGGTGCCTGCTCTTCAACCATAACCACTATTGCACACTATTTTGATTCATCAAATAAAATCCACAATATTATCAAAACAACTGTTTTGATTTTACATCTATCACTGATGCCTTGAAAATGACAGTAATTGAAATAAACCATGTACTTTCAACATTAACTTTCCTTTATAAGCAATTAGTGCTACATACTAGAGATTGGCAATACAACACCAGTATGAAGTATTGGTAAAAACTGTAAACCACAAATCTTGGACAATTTTGAATTTTTTCTAATAAAAAAGGGGGGTCTTATGGATGACAGTAAGTCAGTATGTAAACTACATATGCAAAAAATATTGACTAAAGGAGGAAACACAAGTAACATGTGAAATCATTTAATGTTAAAGCAACCAAACAAACACAGCAAACTTCTAAAAGCATCTCTCTCTCTGGAACTTGCGTGAGTAAGAAAACAGAGAGTGAAGCAGCTCTTCGAGTACTCCAATTCTACATTTATATGAAACACAGTTTAGTATAGTAGTTATTCAATTTGGATAGAAGATCAAGAACCTATTTACATAGTAAAAAAAAAGAGAATGTAAACACTGGATTTCATACTTGATCAATATTACCAACTTTCTAGTCATAAATTTTTCAAAGAAAATGAAATTCCATCAATGAGCAATGGAATAAAGCATAACATCAAATGTTCTCTGCACAAGCTCACTGTTCTTCATACTAATGTGAGCTCTGACAAATAAACACAATCACTTATATCAGTGTAACAGTTCCCTATATTATTGATCACTGGCAACTGTGTTTTCACTATATGGAATACTTAACATCCACCATATGCCAGCAAATACTTTGAAGAGAGTACTTGAGAAGCTGAATTAATCAGCTAATAAAATAATCATGTCCTGATTGTTAATGGCTTCAATGCATTGAGAATATAGAACCTATACTTTGTCGTGGGAAAGGTGATATCAGACATGTCTAAAGCAATATCTTAGCTAAGAAGAATCATTTCTGCTTTTGGAAAATCTTGGAAAACTTTTTCTTTAATTAAACACAAAAAAGCTTTTGCCCTGCTAAAGCATAACCTGATTAGTGATGTACTAACCAGATAGGGTTCTACCTTAGGAACAGTGGACAAGTACATTAAGCAACAACAAGCAACAATATTAATGACTCTGGCTGAAGACCGTAAGAGTTGTTATTTAGAACCCAAAGTTGAAACAATGAAGATTCTTGAACAAGCATCTTTTTTCAACAATCACAAGAAACTATTGTATCATCTTCTTTGTACTGTTTTGGATGGAGTTATTGATGAGTTTTCAAAAACAGAATCAGGTAACCTCCAAGTGTTCAAGCAATTCAAAATCATTGAGATGTGAAAACAAGGTCATTCCTTGACCCCAAGAATCAAATAGCTTCATCTGAAGAATTTTGAAACTATGAAGATGATGATGAGAAGTGAGAGTAAAGATATCTAAATTTCAAGCATGCCCTCCCCTAAAGATGGTTTTTCTAAAGAAGGTGCTAACAAGAAACATAAACTATCCTTTAAAGAGATCATGGAGAAGCTTGGAATATTGAAAATATTCCCTCCAACAGAAATAAAAAATAATACTAATAGACTAACAAAATAACTGAAAGTTTTTTTTGCTTTGCATTATGCAGATGAAGTTGATCTGCAAAGTCAGATGTGGTCAAATATTTAAGGGTGTAGTCAAAAACACTCAGAAGAGGGAACTGCCAGATCATGTAAGTAATGAGATAGAACAGTATTATGAGTAGTCCACATACTAGTCTGCGCAATGTCTTCCAGAGGGAAATTCAACCAGTCAGCTAATGACATAGAAATATGACAAATCTGGTGAGATATGACATGCAAAAGATTCCTCTCCTGTACCAATAATCCATTATAGGCCATGAGAATCAATTTACAAAGCTACCTCATTAGGGTAATGGGAGATAAATCATGGGAAATAGAAGGATTCCAATGAATGAACAATTGATTCCTACTACCTCAAAATGAGTTAGTATGAGCCACATAACACTTGAGGGCTGTAACAGGACATAACAAACTATCAGGATCAGAGCTGTCATTAAGGTGAGAAATGCCTGCAAATGGATTGGTGAGAAGGATCTTTCCCCTTCCCTGGCTGCCAGTCTTGGGAAGAAAAGACCCATCAGGGTAAAGCAGAACAAACATGGAATGATAAAAGAGTCTGTTGCACATGGATTGCAAACAACTCTGACGATGTCCATAAGCCAACAACAACAAAAAATACAATTTAAGAGAAAGATGAAAAAAAGGGGTCAAAGGGATGATGAGACAATGCATTTCAAGCAACTGGAAAATCACAATTCAGTAATTGAAAAGGTCATTTAGGTTGAAGAATACGAAAGGATTTGAGTAGATCTGATAGTACTGAAGATTCAAAAACCTTCCAATATATGGAATATCAAAAAATAGTGGATAAGGATGCCTTATATAAATCCACCAAAGATGAAGCAAGACTCCTCTCAAAAACTCAAGTCATAAAATGGGATATGGTAGATACTTTAGGATGAAGAGGGTTTAAATTTCATTTAATACACCATTGACTATAAGTATTCTATTTCCGTTGATAAATGGCTGTGGTTGGCCTACGGAGAGATTTAGTTATATACAGAGAAACCTTAGAAGTTAAACTCTTATGTCGGGCAAAGGACTGCATAACATCCAAGCATGAAGATTTATTTTCCGAACATCTGGGTGGAAAATGTCTGATCGAGGTTTTCTCAAAAGAAACTGTCAATGTGGAAGAGGTAGAGGTGGATATTCCTGTAGATTTTGAAGAAGCGAAAACCATGTTTGAGCTGGCCAATATGGTGCAACCAAGAGAACCCGACAAGGAGTGGAACGAACCGTAGTCAGAACCTGGAGCAATAGCCGAATCAGGGGAAAGGCATACAGATGTAAACCTGTCCAGTCCTGACTGAATGCATCTACTGCCAATGCTTAAGGATGAGGTATCAGAGACCAAAACAACTGCAGTTGAGAATTCCAATGAGTCGCAAAGGCATCAATCATTAGAAACCCAAACTGAGAGCAAATCCACTGAAAAACCTCATGACGTAGCATCCATTCCATCAGAAGAATCTGGTTAGGTTGAGACAAGTAATCTGCAATTAAATTCATCACTCCTGGAACATAACACGCTAAAAGACTGATATGATAGTAATAAGCACAGTAGAGAAGATCCAAGGAACAAAAACAAAGGTCTCAAGAATGTGTGCCTCCTTGACGAGAAATGTGACATACCACAGTGGAATTGTCAAAATGGATCATGACAATTTTTCCCTTCAAGAGAGACAGACCTTGAACCATTGCCCAGTGTACTACAAGGAGTTTGAGAACATTGATATGGAGGGTAGACTCGTCTTCCATCCAAATACCCTCGAACTCCTCACCTTGAATATAAGCTCCCCATACCTGAAGAGATGCATCTGTGAACAGATGGATCTCGGGACAAGGTGGTGGAATAGGTACTCCAATAGTAATGTTGTTCTGATCCAACCACCATTCTCAATCAACGATGTTGCTCCTGAGTAATGAGACAGGATAATCTAAAGGATCGGAATGCATAATCCATTAGTCATGCAGTGGTCACTGAAGGGACCTCATATGTGCTTGTCCCAAAGGAATGAGAGGCTTGAGGGATGCCCCCATCCCCAAAAGAGAGAGAACCATCTGTGCAGTAGGAGAAGGACACATAAGTAAAAGCCTGATAGCTCTTTCCATGGCTTGAAGCCTGATAGGGGTTGGTTGAACATGACTTAAGTGAGTATTGAAACACACACCCAGATGGACAAGATATTGCATCTGTGACAAAACAGATTTCTCCAGTCTGAAAAGGAAGCCCACTTTTGTGGCTTTTGAAAGGAGAATCTGAGATTGTTGTTCTGCTAATTGATGGTATGGTGCCAGAAGGTCTTTGGCTTGGACGGACCGTCAAAAATGGAGTCAGTGACTATCCCGTGGGTGTGGGGGAGCAGTGGGAGCACAATTACATCACTTTCTGGACATATGGAGTTCTTTCACCAGGGATCCATCAGTACTCCATGTTCTGTCTTGAGGGTTGGTCATTCAATTTACATCACCTCCACCATTACCTGCACAACCTGTTGTCTTTTCACCTCCAACAGATCCACAGCAATTGGAACTTCATTATCAGGCCATAAGAGAGTTGTTAGTCTAAAGGGCAGTAGAAAGGGGCGATCCGGTTTTTCCGGGATTTTATTCCCATTTATTTGTTTTACTCAAGAAGTCAGGAGGTTGGCATCCAATCATCGATCTGTCTCGACTCAACCAATTTGTAAATCTTTCTCATTTTACAATGGAATCTTTTCTCATCCTATGATGGCACTTTGTGCCAGGGCTCTGGGTGACCAAGTTCGATGTTACCAACACTTATCTCCATATTCCCATAGCGGAATCTTCCCGGAGGTTTCTCAGGTATGTGCACACTGGTCAGGTGCTGTAGTTCAGGGCTCATCCTTTTGGTTTTATATCAGCAACTTATGTCTTCTGCAGCGTCGTTCAAGCTTTTTCTCATCATCTGCATTCCTTGAGCCTG